TGCTACTCCCCCTGCTTGTGCTCTCCCTCCCTCTCTTCTGTCTCTCTCTCTCTGTCAAATAAATAAATGAAATCTTAAAAGGCACCAGCCAGGTGCCCAACAAGAAACACTTTTTTAAAAAAGCTTTTCTTAATTTCCCTGAAGAACATCAGAAGTTTAAAAAAGTTGTCAATAGTTTTACCACTGTTCTTCATCATGGTGCAAAGATAAACCTGCCCTGCCCTGGCCAGACTATCACAATTTTCAATTCACAGTGTTGGATCATAATAGTAAGTAGATAAAGAGTCTACTTATCATGAAAAAAAAAAAGGTAGAAAATGAGTGGGGGGTGGGATAGTAATTTGCTGAGTATATTTCATGCAAGGTAAGGTCAGAAAAAAATAAATGGTCATTTTGGCCCAAGATTTTTTTTTTTTAATGTTCTGGTGTTTTCATTCATTCAGTGAGCCCGTTAAAAGTGTCTGTTCGTTATTTCTGCATTTATTCATCAAGCATATATTGTGTACCTACACATGCACTTTCTGTTAACAACTAGGAATTAAAAAACTAATTTCAAAAATGTCTTCCCTTTGGGAAGCTGATAATGTCTCCTCTACCTAACTTGGTAATAAATGGGAAGAGTTGGGGAAGGGGTTCTTAGAAAACCTTCTTAAGGGCGCCTGGGTGGCTCAGTGGTTAAGTGTCTGCCTTCGGCTCGGGTCATGATCCCAGGGTCCTGGGATTGAGCCCCACATCGGGCCCCCTGCTAGGCAGGAAGCCTGCTTCTCCCTCTCCCGCTCCCCCTGCTTGTGTTCCTGCTCTCGCTATCTCTCTCTCTGTCAAATAAATAAATAAAATCTTAAAAAAAAAAGAGAAGAAAATCTTCTTAAAGAGGTAGTGCTTGAACTTGATTTATAAGTAATGAACCAACCACAAAAAATTCTGTGTCTATGGGATGCAGAACCTAATCAAAGGAGGTGTAGGTTGGAGTGAAAAGCAGTGGGCAGGGAGTTTTAGCAACCTTGGTTTCATTTGATTAAATCTGTAGTGTCCTGGTAAACTGGTTCTCCTGAAAAAAAAGGAGGTTTGATTTATACCGTTTGCTCATTCCTATGGTGTAAATATTCCTACCATGGCTGATTTCAAGGTACCAATGATTTAACAACTGGCTCAAAAAATTCCTGAATATTTAACAAAGGGCTCCTTTAAGACAATTTAAACTGGTTCCTGCACACCACTGTGTTCCTACCAGCTTTATGACTTTGGATGTCATTTGCCTTCTTAGATTTCAGTTTCCTCATTTATAAGTGAAAATGTGGGATTAGATGACCTAACATCCTGTCAGCAATAAATGTTCATGATGAAGCCATACAGTCACTTAGAAGCACTGTAAACCTTCTAAGGGCAGGGGCTATGTCTGTTTTATTTACTACCATATACCCCACCTCTACCACATTGCCTGGCATATAGTAGGTGCTCAATTTGAACTGAATTTTCATTTCTTAGGCAGTTATATATCACCGAGTGTGTGCCAGGCACTACTTTAAGAACTTTCAGATATTACCTTATTTTGAGTGAATATACCAAAGAGAATGGAAAAAATTTGAGTGATGGAATAACATGATTAAATCAGTGTATTAGCAAGGATGCAGAGAAATGAGAGGTGGAGAAAACAGTATATATACACAGCATAAAACTTTATGTAAAATGTAGCCTCTCTATCCAAACAAAGCAGTGGTATCAGGACAAAAAAATTCCAGAACCACTTTCCAAACGGAAAGCGGATTTAGGGAGGCAGTGTCTCTAAATTGATTATCTGCTCTGCCCAGTGCTGCCCAGGCCTGCCCAGAGGGGAGATTTTTACAACCTCAGAGAAAATTGGTTTCCCTAGCAGTAAGGTGAAGATAGGATTGTTTTCCCTGGATGAAAACGCTTTGAACAGACTTTGTGAACTCTAAAGCACTAAACCCATGTAAGGCATGAGGGTTTAGCAAACTGCTTCTGTAATTGTTGCTTTTCAAATATGTTCAGCTAATATCTTTATACTGGCTAAAAATCAGTGCCATTTTTTTTCATTGAGTCCCTCTTAGTCAATGATATAATCAGTCTAAGCAGTACAAAAATACATGTTTTACATAGATTTTATTTTGTTTTGAAAAAAAATAAAGTGGGGTTCACTATTTTTATTTTTCCCTGGAATTGCCTTGAAACAACAAAAGATGTTGACTGCTGAGCTCCTGAAAATTGGTGCAGTGGCCCAGACAGGACATAATAAAGTCCTAGCCTAAGCTGATGGCAGTGGAAATGAAAAAGAGGAGAAAAAAGGAGTAGAATCGACAAATATTTTGAAGGAAAAATCAACAGGATTTAGTGATTGATCGGATTGGGGCAAGGGCATGTTGAGAACTTTGATCTGTTC